GCATGTGGCCTGGAACCACGCCGGGGCCACGGAATTAACCCTGGCTCGATTACGATAGCCTGATATCCGCGACGAAGAAAAAGACCGGAGAGGACGGGACACAATCGTTTACTTCAGAGCTCAACCTCGTTGGTGTCGTTGCGTCGGGTTTGCGCGTGTGTACTTATACTTCGGATGTGTGAGCCATACATGCGCTAACATCGAGACCTATGTGTGGGGGTACTTCAAGATAAATATTAGTGCTAATGAAGGGGGAGTTGAGGATTCGCGGGGCTGGCGACATGCTGCGACAAGGGGAACCCTGTGTAGGAGGTGGAGCGACCGGAGTAAGGGGTTGAATAAGCCCGATTCACAACAGTAGTTTTCGAAACGCATTTTCTACACAGGTTATAATATGAGAATAATGGAATATCGCATGTAACCAATTACGACGGTTAAAGTATTCGACTTGGATAATCAGGAAGAGGAGCTATTCATTCTTCACATTTCCTGGCTCTCGTAATGTGCACAGTTTCATACGTCCATTATGGAAGTTTAACGATGTTCATGATAATCTCGATTTGTAGGTCAAGGGCAGCATTTTGGCCCAAATTGCATTCGGTCATGGAGATTTACACAGCTGGCTTTTTGACCTTTCACGTGCGCACCACCGGATGTGCACATGAGCAGTCTTTTCAACAAACACTGATTAAGCAGATTTCGCGCTGTAACGTTTTTTGACGAAAACTGATGTACCGTTTTCAAGATGAACTTAAGACATCGAAATTGGAGTTATTCCATGGCTTATGGATGGTGATAGTCAAAAAGCAGCGTCACTGACCGAAAAACTAAGGAGGAAAATTAAACAAGTGAATGGTAATAGTTGAGATTCCAGTTAAGACAACATGTGTGTCCCAATCCGCAGGTAGAAATGTAATTCAAAACGAAGAAACTGCGCTTAGCACACCCAAACGTTCTGCAGTAAGATGACTTTTCTTGTCAACAGTTGCAAGATCCATTGCTGCGTATAAAAAAGTTCTTAACTGTTTCGGATGCACACGATCTTAGCGATCAATGCGTACCGTGCCTGACAATGGAAACGCATGAAGCTTCCACGCTTCCCCCATGCTCACGTCAGTCTTTTCTTTCGATACGCGAGGATTTCAAGATCATGTTTCTCAGCTGCTCCTTCGCCTGTTGGATTACTCCCATCTTTGTTGGCGTATTTTGGTGCCGTGGAAGCAAATTGGACAGTAGTTGTACTGAGGTATACCTAATGCTATGAGGAACTGGGGTTCCCAGTTCGGTGACCTGGGCTGGTGGTTCGTGATGTAACTAACTCTTCCTCCAACATCACCGTTTGCTGCGTTTTCTTTGCATTCAAGCACTGTAACCTTGGCCATTTCAACCTGTATGTTTGTGGTATCTTTCAAACCTGATACTTAAACTGGCAGCAACCGGTATAAGATAGGTAAATGTGACGATAGACGCAGTTTTGGTTAATACCAGTAGATGAGTAGTGGTCACCTAATAAGCGTAATTGCATGAACTGCAGAGTTAAAGTAAGAGGAGCGAATAGCGGGTCAAATTAAAATGTGGGTGATGTTGAATTATTATAAATGATTTACTAGAGAAAGTAAAGTGTTCAAACGGTTTTGGGTAGTTATTTTCAGACAGCACGATCGTGGTTCTTCCTCTAGGGACGAAGCTTTAGAACACAATATGGACTATCGGTTCCGACTTTCGTCATTAGAATCACTCATCTGCTTTTGCTACCACTTTCAGGCGGGTAAAAAAAGCTATTTTAAAGCCACCCACTGAATGTCCTCTAACTGCACTAAAACTTCGTTTATTGCATGGCTAGATTATAAGATTCACGATTGTCCTTCCGATTGCCATCTCAATTCGTCAAATTTGTCTTTGGTGTATTTAATACCAAGTTCAGAAATTACGATTTATATACTTAGTCTCTTTCTTTTGATTTATGGTTAACTTGAGCTGTAATTAAGCACATGAAGTGACGAAAAATCCAAATGTGGTATAGTAGATACATGATTCAAGCATGTGAACTTCTACAAAATATGCCAGAGGTCAGTTTATTGCGGTAGTGTCTGCCGGGACGGACTCTCACGTTCCTATTGGTTCACAAGATACGCAAAAATGACGTCAAATGCATGATTAAATTGGGGACTGTCGAGGAGCCCGGGATTGACGTCATTTGTCCCTTAAGCGGGGCCGTGTTCGGGGTATGGTAGACGTTCTAATTTCCCCCTGTTCCCATGTTTAGGCCAGAATGTAAAACCAACTAGCTGTAGTACATGAGGACAGCATGTGTGATCCGCTTGTGGGAATGATGGGAACTGACTGACTGACTGACTTCCAATCCAAAAATCTTCAGACCTCGATTTAGCGCTAGTCTTACGAGCCTTCATGCACTTGAAAAAACTCTATGGTTTTAGTTTAATATTTTGCTAATGTTCGTTCACGTATTTCATGATGGCGTTCAGCAGTTTGTGCGTCTTATTAACTTTCAAGCACACTTGCGAAAATGTCAGCATGAGGTATTTCATGTTAAGTGTTACAAATTAGATTTCAAATATGCATGTTGGTTTCGTACTGCCATATTTTAAATGGCTGTACTAATGTATTAGTCCCTGTCTTATAGCAACAAATCGATACCTTACTGTTCCCAGAAAACCAACAAAATCCGCCTAGATTCCAATGAATATTCCAACATTATGCAGGTTAGGAAAAAAAGCGAAGTAGCAACAACAGTGTAAGTCCTTACAGAATTAAGGTCGGCAAAGGGAAAATTAACGTTAAAACAGATGAAATGAAGATCTTTCATGATTTTGTAGCTACAGGGACAAAACAAAAGCCAACGCTATAACTAGACCGATTAAGAACTTAAAGCATGCAAAGCCTACACTGCATAGCTCAATGAAAACCAAATTTTATCTTTCACTTAGATCTAAAAAGATGACGTTTACAAACTATTACAAGCTGGAAATACGTGTGTATCAATTTGAACTCGGTCTATTTAAATCTGTGCATCGTATTCGATCTAGATAGTTTTGGTTCAAGCTCTTGGAGCCCGTAATAATCTTTAATAATTAAACCATGCTGAAAACTGATTATTTGACTGTGCTAAGGGTATTTAAGCAAAAATAATCTCCCCATACAGTCAAACTGCGTTTCCTTAGTGTTTTAATTCAGCTTATGAATGAATCCCCACTTGCGTCCTTGAGAAGCAGGTAGCTGTTTTTTTGTGGACTGTAGTTATTCTTTCCACGTGCTAACTTCAGATAGCCTTAACTATTCTCTTTATTATCTCAGTGGACAGTATCGCTGACCGTCGTTTAAAACCCATTAATTGTTTTCTCAATTAAGCCTGCGGGCTAAATGTATCTACCCTTTGTGACTAACACTAAAGTGTGGACCATAGGCCCGATTTTATGCAGCCACCACCTGGCACCAAACTAAAGAATAACAAGACATTTCTGATGCAGCAAAGGCATATATTATTATTATTATCATCGTATGTCTTTAAATAGTTCAGCATGTTTTGAATGGCCCGGTATAAACATTAAAGCTAAGCAGGAAAACAAGAGACGGGTGAACAATGAGTCCGTCCATGTGGGAACCGTGGTAATAAATTCGAATTAATGGGGTTCTCCAAATACTTCGAAAATGAAGAGTTTTAGCTGCGAAGAAACCCACTGGTTTTCAACTGAAACCACCATTAATAGGTTTTAATAGCCTTGGTGACCTGCGCCAGAGAACAAAAGAAATGCCAGCTCGTCACGAATCATGGATTAATCATGAAGCTCAGATGAGCACCAACATTTTGTGCAAGGCCTTAACAGTACTTTTGACATGCTACAAAACTGAAGGTGCTAAAGGCGAAACGAGTACCGCAAATCCAGAGGAAAATCAAGGATGGCTAAACTGGGAGGTACTGGTGTACTCCGAAATGCTGTCTCTACACTCTACTGATTTTGCTAAGTAGTGTCAACAACAACTGTTGTGCTGAGATATTCTAAGGGTAGTTCTTACGGACACAAGACTGATTCCTGTAATTCCAAAGGGCATATTAACCTCAACAAGTCTGACATTCATAGGATCTAAAAGTTTTATGTAACAAGAGTAAATATAAGAGATTGAGAAAATGGTGGTCAAATCACGTTCTGGGTGCAAACGGTCGAGAGTAATGTGGGTGAAGAGTCAGGTTACGGCCATCTTAGCATGAAGAGGGGTTTCGAAGATTCATATTGGAGTACGCACTGTAACGTACCACATTGATATCCTCAATTATTAGTGTCAATTCAATTCTCACAAATAATGTCCTGTGCCCCAATTAAATCTCTTGGAGGTCAAATATTCTAATAGCATATAAAGGCTCATGAATGGGCAGCAAAGTGAAGTTAGCTTAGCGAATACTTATTTTTTTCATCCTGTTGTCTCCAGTAAACCTCCATTAGAGTTATTTTGCAGCCTTACATTTCCATGGCATTTACCCTCAGTTTTTCAGGAAGTATCATCGATATATTTACGAGCACGAAAAAAATCACAAGATAAGCAGCAGAGAAATGAATAAGTTTAATATATAGATCAATTGGGAGCCATGATTGAGGCCAAGATGGTTACAAATTTAAATAAAGCGACCATGTAGTCTTCAATTTCTATTTCTAATATGCTCATAATTTTATATGAGTCAACTGGATTTATTTTAGTTCATACGTCTTCTTTTAAGAAATATCCCATTGCAGGAAGACGAAAGGAATAATTCATAAAAAAAAGAATTTAGCAAGTACACAAATAGCGGATTGGAACGCTCCTCCAATTTCGACAAGGTTGATCTCAAAATATTATGGCCAAAGGGACAGGCGTATACATGCTCACAGCAAAAACAACCTAAGAGTGAAAAAAACCGAATTTAGGATCGTTGCATCATCATCAACGAACGTCATATAAGTTACTTAAAACCTTGTCGTATTAACATTTAAATAAGCCTTGAGAGGCTAGTCAAAAAGACACTAATGTGGTATTTGAAAGGATTCTCGCTTACCAGTAACATTTTATATTGATGACGTTAATGAAAATAGTGCTCACGGATATACTTCGAAATTACCGAAAAACTTTTTGATAAAATTTAAATAAACGAAAATGTATAATCAAATTAAAAAAAACGTTTTGGCCACTGCCCAGCTAACGGAAATAAGTGCAAATCAGACGTGAGTTGGAAAATTAGAATGGTGCAAAATGACCTCGGTTAATGTTTTTGAAGTGCTAAATGGAGCAAAGTTCCTTCACTAGTCAAAACTCATTCTACCCGACAAACCTAATTTTTGCTTGAATGCAAAATCACTGGAAGTGGCAGATTTATTAATTAAATGATAGTACTTTGGGAAGCTAAAATCGGTAACGCATGATAAAAAACAAAAAAATAAATAAAAATGAGACGCATTCAAAGACAGCCTATAGAAATAATATAGGAATTGATAAAATCTGTATGATAAGGTGCGAGTACGATATGTTAATTTAAATTAAATAGGTCGAAATTACTTTTCATTGTTTTATCGTTTTAGATCATCAGCCTTTTGAGCGGCTCTTTTGCACTTCTTGAAATAACCCTAGGTTTGATGAACAGGAGGGGGAGACGTGAAGACGAAAGTAGAAAGAAAAGAAGGCGATCCAGGAGTCACTCAAAAGATATATCTCATAGAGATTCCAAAAAACATAAGGAGAAGAACCGGAGGCCCAATGATGAAGAAGGTATAATTACCATCGATTAGTTAATTTATAAAATATTAGATGACGTTGTTGAGTCAGGAACAGCTGAATCCCTTTCAATTGAAGAGACAAAGTATTAGCACTTTTTTGAAATGCATTTTTAGTAAACTTCGTGCTAAGCTTGGTCTTGCTCCTCTTGACGTTGGAAATCAGGCTACGAGAACCGAGTCTGATGACAATAAACCCAGAAATAGTGATACTGACTTCGTCCATCTTCCGGCAAAGGATATAACCAAGGCCAAGCAGACTGAAAAATTACAGGAAAAAATAGTAACTTCAAAAGAAAAGCGCGAATTATTAAACAAACTTCGTGAATATAAGTCACTCGGAGCAGATGAAGACGTTAGTGTCTCTTCATGGGTTGAAAAAATGAGGACAAAAGAAAAAGCTAAGCTGGAAGCAGATAAAAGAGTATGTTTCTCATATAGCCTTGTTTTACACTCATTCAGGAAAAGATTTTGGCGGAAATGGATGAAGAATTTGGAGTGTCAGCCATTGTTGCGGAACGAATAAAACCAACAGTTGCTAAGGTACTGCGCTTCACCTGATTTTTTGATGTTCTAGCAAGAGTACTCCTCAGCTTCTCTAGAGGGGCTGAAAGTTGAGCATGACGTGAATACTTTTTCTGAGGGAGCACCAATTATCCTAACACTTAAGGATAGTGGTAAGCCATTTAACTTTGTTATTCCTGGTTTTAATTAAATATTTGTGCAGTATACTTCTCCCACTACTTTTTTGCGTAAAAATACGTTAGCAATTTCATCTAACCCAAATTTTTATTAGCATCGATTGTGATCTTAGCAATTTTACAAATATTTTGAAAGCCCGGGTTACCGTTTCCGTGGTTATTATCAATAACTCGATGCGAGATTTTGTAGTTCTGTTAGGCCGCCCTACAGTCAGATAATTGTGGTTTGTGTGAAAACCATTGGTGAGGTTCGGTTGCCTTTTATTAATGATCGTTCGTTGGGTTATGGTTAACTTTAGGTCTTGCTTTTAGGCGCCTTTTACTAAAAGTTGCTGCTTCCCACCATTTCTTAAAATGCATGCATAAAGCTTCAGTTCAAATTCGCTTCTTTGATGTACAGACGTTTTGGCTGAGGACCCATCAGATGTGCTGATAAACGTTAACCTTGCTGATGACGAAAAAGCTGCAAAGAACCGTGAAAATAAACGCAAACTCGCCGGCCTCGGGGGCATAGTGCAGGATGAGGATGAAGACGTGCTAATGGGACTTCGAGAGAAGGGAATTCTTGAAAAATATGACGTAGAAATCGATGGTCCAAAAAAGGCGAAGTTCACTTTGGAGGCTGGTGGTACATATGCTCCCGGTCAGGAGCTCGCAATGCGCCGTTTGGAAGAAGAACTTCGTGCAAACAGGGTAGGTTCTAAGGTTTAGTGTTGTGCTATGTATTACCATCTATGTTTAATTTACAACTAATCTGTAAGGTGTGACAGTCTGATTCATTCCTTTATTCGTACATTTTCTGTTTTTTTTATTTATTTTCCACGGCTGTATCTCAGAAATGTGGATACGGAAAAGTAGAGTCATCGTTAGCCATAAACTAGGATTGATTGTTACCCGTTATTTCCAATCATTTGTTCATTCACTTCTAAGTTTGTCCAGCGGTGTCTAATCGGTGAATAAAAACACTAATGGTAAAATTTTATTTACCACTGCGTAACTGAAAAAGCCCAAGTCGTCACAGTTAATATACATCGACTTTATTTTCCGATTTCCGAAGTTACTCACATATAGACCAAATATTGTTACAGGCTTAAGGTTTTCATCCTCATACCTTATTGTCGTTGTTCATTTCTGAAAAAAATCAGGAAAGCATTGGGGACCAGGAACTCCGCCCGGCAGCAGAATTTTACACGCCCGGTGAAATGGCGCAGTTTAAAAAAAAGAAAAAGCGCAAAGTCCAACGCCGAATCCTACGTGCCGATGATTTGATTCCAGATGCCGCGTCCGGCCCTCAGGGCGTAACTCCATCAGTTTCTGCTGATCACGGTTCGCGTAGCCGAAGAACAGCAAAGCCTGCGCAAAACGATGTGACTGAGGAGGGCGAGGTGGAGGATTCAAAAGATGTAAAAAAGAGAGAACGAAATGAAGAGAGCCAAAAGAAGGACGTGAAGTCATTTAGGCTTTCTTCATTGACTGGTTTGAATCCTGAGATCGCAGCTCTTTTGTCAGTTCAAACGATTGCCGAAGAGGATGGGCAGCTAGGCGATGACGAAGGTAATTTACTGTTCATTTTATTGTGCAGTTATCCCAGGCAAAGTGTAACGTTGGGTTACATTTTTAAATAAGTAGTTATCAGCTTTCTATAATCAAAGGAACTTGAATTCATTTAAGGCTATTGTGAGGATTTTTGAAATTAGCGCATTCGTTGGTTTCAAAATAGGCGCAAAGATGTATTGCTCTCCCCAATTTTTTTGTGTGTCATATCTGGGATTTCCGGACTTAAATCCTGGCCTCTCTCAGCAAACGATGTCATGTGGTTTGAAACTATACTCAGCGTACTACAATGCGGTGATGAGGGTTTTTCAATTATTGTATTTTGGTTTAAGTAAATTTTCTGTTTAATATGACCTCTTTCTGGATCTTTGCCAACGTGAGTAGAATCAGAATACCCTTTAATGTAAGGAAAGGTATTTTTGACTTTCAAAGCCCCTTCCATCAACGTATCAGTTAGCAAAATCGATTTGGTATTACTACTTCGCCATTTGTTCATGCCGTCTTCAGATGCAGACGATCAGTGGATTGCGGAACCACTGGAGCCGGATGATCTTCAATTAGAGTTGGAAAAAACGCTGAGTCTGGCCCGTAATGCCAATCTATCAAAGCCCATTCCTCCCGAGGAAGTAAGTGCATTGTGGGTCTACTTTGTGAATTACATTTTGTCACATTTTAGAGAAAATTTAGTGGTTATTGTCACAATCAGCATTGCCGATGACCAATTTTCGAATAGTTCAAACTAAGCTGTTTGGTTTGTGTGATAAATTTATTAGTGACGAAGCAGCAGGGGAAATATATTAAGCCAGTCGTTTGACCTCAGTGTACGTACAATTTCTCTAGGGATCTTTTTAAGTCTGCATTAAGTTGTAAAGTAGTGAGACTATTAACTCTCAATATCACTGCATCCATCAGGTAGCACCCGCTTTTACCCAGGCAGTATGTTACGTGCCCGATGTAAGGATTTAAAAAAGTGTCTTAAAGAACTTCATACAGGGTATTTATTCAAAACGCCGACAACCTTCAGCCTGCCATGGGGACTGTAATACTGGCACGTTTTTTTTATTTTGCTCCAGAGACTTCAGATGATTGTTGCGGAGGGAGAATCGGTGGTGCCTAAACCTGAAGCTCCGGGCCCCAACACTGGTGGCCTAGTGTTCGACGCGACGGCCGAATTCTTCAAGCAAATATCCGGCGGGTTACAGAGTGACCTCAATGCGAAGTTGGTGAAGAAGGAGGAAGAAGGAAACGGAGTGGAGCAGGTTGTCGATGGCAAGGAGAGAAGCCACAGGGACGAAAGCAGTCGCCACTCCTCGTCAAGTAAGCCAATAGTGATTGCTTTCATTTCGGTTTTTCGACATGCTACACCGGATTGCCTAATTCCGCATAACCCCCTTCTATTGTTCAATTCGTTTCACTCTTTTCGCACTCAGTCAAAACCTATGACTACCTTGTACCTCCGCCTATTACATGGCCTGAACCGATTTCTACTTCAATGCGACAAGTCACTGCGCATTCCCAGTTACAAGTACTGTGTTTTTTCGTGCTGAAGTCAATAAAAGTACTCGAGGAAGAACTATTAATCTATTTAAGAAAAATTAGGTCAGTTTAAATGGCGGTTGACGCACTTTTTCGATTAATCCTTTGCCAAGTCGGTCTCTAGGAATCCTTTCAAGTGGCCACTTCTCGAATCAATGGAGAAAGCTTCGGAACTTTGAATGATGGTGAAATCGGTAAAGAGACTTGTTTAGATGGGGACAAAGTCCTCATTGCAGTAGAACGACCTTTTGTTGTACTAAATGCTTAAGTATTCCTAAGGAGTTAGTGGTTAGAAGGGAGATGAGAGGTAAGACTTGTTGTGGAATCCTATGGACGAGGACAATGGAGCCACGCTTGAAGCTATTGCAAGGAAATGGTGTTTGTTGCATGCGGTACGATGTGTCGGTGGTTTCCTCAACATGGGGCCAGGTGGTTCAACGGATCGCAGGCACGTTAATCCCAGCTTGATGTCTCGCGTCCGAGAATAAATGTAGGTGAATTCGCAAAATCGGTCAACCTGCCTGGCATGCGAAAACACGTCTTACGGGATTTTTGCTGCAAGTTGCATCTATGCATTGCTTGAGTAACTTGGCATTATTTTCGAATGTCTTTCCAACTTCCAGAAAGCTCCTCCTCGTCGCGCCGCCACCACGATGACAAGGCGACTTCGAGCAAGTCTTCGAGCAGACGGAGGTACAAAGAGGAAGGGGACGTTGCACCCTCCTCCTCCTCGTTTGCTGCACCCACTGCCACTGAAGAGGGGGCGGGTGTGTTTGAGGAGGAACCGGCCTTGAACCAGGGCGTCTTCTCGGCTCTCCTTCTCGCCCAGAAAAAAGGCTACGTCGAGACTCAGAAGGAGAAGGAGGTAAGGATTGTCTTTTACCTCTAGTCCTATATGCCTGTTGTCCAACTCTTTACGCCATTTATCTGTTCAAATGTGTTTTCACAAGCTCCAAGTGCCTTCTTGGGAAATTGAATTTGCTACCATGGGGGCAGTCAATTACTGTCGTTCTGAGGAGTGCTAAGTTAGGTTAAGTCAGTTTGTAATTTACGTCAACCAACATTGCCACTTTTGAATCGATTGCTTCAGCGCCCAATGGGCCAACTCGTAAACCTGATGGCGAAGCACTATGTGGAGGAGGACATTCGTTACGATGATATCGACGCAAAATTTGCCAAACGCGAGCGCTACAACGGACCCCTATCAGATTTCCGCGAAAAATCCAACTACAAACCAGACGTGAAACTGTACTATGTGGATGAGATGGGCCGAAACATGACCCCAAAGGAGGCCTTCCGGCAGCTCAGCCACAAGTTCCATGGTAAGGGTTCCGGCAAGAAGAAGACGGAAAAGAGAACGAAAAAAATTATCGAAGAAGCGGTAGGTTGATCTGTCTTGATAAAACATTGTTACCTGTGTGTGCCAAGTAGTATGTATTACTTTCCACATTTCAGCTTATCAAGAACAGTGCTAGTTCTGACACGCCATTGGGAACGCTGAATAAATTGAACAAGAAGCTAGAGCGACAAGGAATGCCCTATGTTGTACTAAGTGGGAAGGGCTCAATCACGTAAGTCGATCACTTATTGTATTCGTTGCATTTTTGACAGCTATCACTAAGCGTGAAGTAGATATTATTTCAAATAGTACGGCGATTCGCTTCAATCGCTCTTATTGACAAATGGAACCTAACTACACGGTTGGCACGTTTCGCAAGTGCGTATCGCCACTTTCTTAACATCACCTTCCACCTAAACAGACCATAGACTTGCGTTTTTACTCAAGCGACATTGGTGTTGCAACACGCACACAACTTTGCGCTATCCGTCTCACTTATTTCGGCTCTGCACGCCAATCGTCCAGTTAGAGGGACCCACTGGTCTGTGTTAGGTATCGAGGTTTCGCTTTTTATAATGCAGTTATTTTTCTACTATTTGTAGGAAGAACCTGATGAAATGAGGTTCCAGCCTGTGGCTCGTGGCGACTTGCAATGTACAGTTTTAAATAAACACAAGCAAACGTTGACGTGCCTGATGTTTTCGTCCTTGCACATCCACAGTAATTGGCTTTTTTATCGAGTTTCCGAAGAACATCATCTCTGAGTGGATAGAACTCGCTCCGATTTGTCCGTAGGAGGATGTTTTTTCCAAATCGAGTTAAAGCTATACTTGGGGATGTTTGTTTTTAGACTAGGTTATCTGTGGCTGACATGTGCATGGCAATGAATACGAAGAAAACTGCAGCTTTTAACCTACATCACAACGACCGCTGAATTTGTCCATGGTCATGTCTACACACTAAGAGGCTGCTATTGGTTGGCTGTTGGGGTCGAATGGGGACCGATCAGTTTGAATGCGGGAGCGTTGGTGCAGGTTACGAGGTGGTTTGAGCGAACTGCGCCGCCGGCAGTTGCAGGTCACTCGTTTTCATCCGTCCTTGACATCCGCATAGGTTTTTCGTTGGGCTTTGAGCCTAACGCGACCAATAATTGGTGCGCCGTCTAGATATCCTCAACAGAACAATGATGAGGCAGTTGACGATATGCTACGACTTCAAGTGACATTGAATGAATGCAAACATCCAACTAGACATGGTACAGTCACCGCCGTGTGAAGCAACTCAGCTAGTCTAAAAGGCACTGATATAATGGAACAGCATCTGGCCCTGCCAACAAGGAGTTCCTTTTTCTGACTTTATTTCCAGTGTTGCTGAAATGCGCCATCGAGGGGTGCTGGCGGCCAGTGCCATTGTATGAACATGCACAAATATGCTATCTACAGAACAAGGATGCTTTGTACAACGACATTGTCACCAGCAAGCAGTCATTTTAGGCGACACGTGGAAAACTGTGTGGAGATTTTGGTCCTCATTAGAAGAACTGAGGATTCAACATACATTACGGAGGCGCAGAGGATTCAGTCACCTACAGCTTAGCACAGTTTAGCTACCTGCTGGTCTACGTGACCAACCGTTGTGCTTCCAAGCTTTAATGTAGCCAAATCTCTAAAAACACCAGTAGAAAGCATCATTAGGCGAAATACACAAAGCGCATACAAAATCTGCCTAAAATTAGATGCTTTGGTTCTGTTAGAGTATGCGCTTGTTCAGGCTTACTTTTTGATGACACGCGGCACTCGTTAAACAGGTAAATAATCGAAGTATGCTATTTAACTAACCAACGTGACTTGGAAACGAATAAAAGGTAGGCTGTAAGAAGTTTGCAAATGACAGATTGTTCGAAATGTTACCTGCACAACTGTGCGGTAACTAAAAATATGATTGATTTTCGATAAAGACTTAAAAAGAGGGGCTGGCACAATATACATAGCCAAAATTACGTATTTTCCTGAACCGTGCCTTTGAATTCGATTATACAAAAATTCTTGTTTTGGAGTGAGCTATTTTGAAATCCTAGTTAAAATTTGAGCTTCAAAACCTCGTTTAAATACTACTGCAGTGGCTGTTATTGATCACTCATAAGTGGAATAAAGAAACGTAGTACAGGCACAAGGGACAATCGCCATTCTTTATTTCAGCCCAACGGGGTTCCCGCGGATGGTGATTCGTGCTCACAGAAGCCCCTGAGATATTGGGATTAAATATAGAGGAATCCCTCCCCCAAAGGGCTGCTTTAGATTACTACAGTGTCGCAGGGGTCTAAGCAGCTTTTAGAATCCATATTTGCCATTGAGCATGTCAGGCATCGTACTTAGGGAGTTCATTTCCTCAAATATCCCTATGGTTGAAGTTGTCAGCACTGGAAACGTCGAGACTGCTGATGAAGTCGTTCAGGTGTGGGAATGGCAATGCTTGTTACTGCCATTTGTTGAATCGAAAATCCTAAATAGGTTGACTCTAACCGGTTACTGAAACGTGGAATCCGCAAGCCAACTCGATATTCATATCACCATTTTGTCATATGTAAAGTGTGCTCAGATACATCCATGCATAAATGCTTTAGAATATTTCTTATTTAATCTTATCAATATTGGTGACAAGAACACCCAAGAATTTTGTTTAACTGAACTTAGTAAACAAAAACAAAGGTTGGTTGATGGCACACTTGTGGGACACCTACTGTCACTTTAATGATACTGCATCATTTATTTTAATTCCCATTAAATTGAACGTTAAATTTGAGCTCCTAGATTTAACAAATGTGAAGAAAAGTACCGTTTTCGTGTTTTTGGGGTTTTAAAATCGGTTAAATTGATTTTGAGTCTGTGCCGAAAATCCAGTGAGAGAATCTGTCAAGGCATCACCATTCAAAAACCAGGTGCCATAACCCAGCGTAGAATTTGTGTGGTAAGAATCATCAGTATTAGAAAAAAATCGCGTTTTCGCAGTCTACAACAAGGTGTTACCATAATGTAAACATCTTCATCCTTCAAGAAGATGGAAATTAATGTTGACATCGGAAATAATGGTGCTCTATTTCCACAAATTTGACTGTCACATCACTTAATCTTCTTTCGGTGGTCCGAAACGGACAAGAAAACCACCGCCTGCCATGAAAAGCGAGGGCCGCTTGTGTAAACTCTACAAAAGGTTAAATTTTATACAGGTGGCTTCATTTTCATCTTCGAATCAGCAGATTTCACCACGAAAGCTTGATTTAATGCTTTGCGTGATTCAACAGACCGAAGACCTTGACATTTTGCGTCACGGCTGGTCTTTTCGTTTGTCTGGTCTCAGCCGCTTAACTGTGACAGCGTACATACGTGGCTAGCGACTCCTCGTACAAAAGCCCTGTGATTTTCACTGACTTGAGGAACTGCATTGGTAGTGGCTGAAATAAAATATAACTCTCCATATGTAAAACATGGCTTCGCGTCGCCTAAAATTCGTGATCATTTGTCACATGCTGTTTCTGTTTACACATTTTATGATGCTGTGGTTCTAACAAAGTGTGTCTGTCCATGGGGGCTTGTGACTTTCTTATCGCTCGTCGGTTGTTGATTAGCTGACTGGCTATCAAACACGACACAAGCGGTTAAGTTTGCACGTGGTTAATGGAAAAGAAGCCTTTTGATCTTTTTTTATCAGAAGCGCACCACTGTGATTGGTATTGAATTCACCTAGGACTCATAAACTCTGGTTTGGAGTTGCACCGACCCCTTGCGTCTAAAGTCACAAGCCACAAGAAGTATTGAGAACGCTTATTTTTAATCTAGGTGAGACTTTGCAGTAGAAAATCAGTGATTTTCTTCACAGGTTTCGGGTAAATTTTCCCGTTGTGTAAACCTTGAGATTGGGTGAATATGGAAGCACAATGTCTGTGGTCAGGTGGGAGGCTGGCGTTCACGGGCTTGGTCACTTAAATTTGACATTGCAAGTCAGATATCAACCAAAAATCAGTTTGAGCATTTAATTGATCCATCAATGGTTGGCATCCATGCGACTCATTTAAAGGTGCGTTCGGCAGACTCTAGCATAATCTCAGATAAATTTTCCCTCTTTCTAGATGACTTCCCACAAAGTCAGCTCTTGCTCTCACAGTAAATCTTTTCCCACCCATTGCTTCTCTGAGCCTATGTGCTGTTCCGTACGAAAAAGTTTTTCTTCAAGGCTTCATTTTTTAAAAGGAAAAAATTATATTTCTGTGTGGGTCAATGTTTTGCATTTTTGAAATAAATGAATTAAGGAGTCCTTTCTGTCTCATACCACTTCAGGAATGCGTTATAAAAACCAGAGCTTTTTTTAAAGCGCTGACCGAAAATCTGTCTATATGCCTCGATTGTTTTACTATGCTGGTTCCACCGGAACATTAATTAAATTCTCCACTAGCATTACGCGCATCGTTTTGTTGCATATATTTACTGTTTAACCCGTGCTGTCGTAATATCTATTGTTGAGGACAGCCTGCATAAAATAAATACCATTCTGGCAAGTCTACCTGTTTGTATTAAGGCTGCAGTTATTTACGGGAGGTATTTTCCGAATATGTATTATTGTCCGCACATGCTTTTTTAAACTTTCAGTTCCATCACTTTTATGTAGTTGTAAATTTTAAATTTACAATATTTTCCATTTTTTATTTGATCAAAAGTTAGATCACAGTACCGCAACTTTTATGGGCTTTGATTCATTAGAAAGATTACGTCTTTCATTTTAATAAAACAAACGAGAATTATTCAGAAGTTAATTATGTTTGTCGACAACATGGAAAAATACATGCCGCCTATCAGATCCTGAAAAAATATTTTGCCCTTTTAGCCTACGAAATTTGACCTTTCACATGATTTTGTCTAACAGCTGCAATTGGGGAACTTGGACAGATTCCCGGTTCTGTTACCCAAACCCCAATTCCCCAATACTTGATTTAGCCCCAACATATTGCCTATATTGGCAGTCTGATTCTTTTAACTAAAATTTTGCTTATAATTTCTAGAAGGACAATCGAATATTTAGTGCCTTTTTGGGGGAGGGGTAAATTTCTGTGCGTGCATTGTGGAATCTCGACGGATCTGTTCAGCGCCATTATTCAAATGTTACGACGGAATTGTACAATTTTCTTGCGTGAAAAAGAGTGCAGGTAATACCAAATATTCGTCTTAGTATTGTCAGGCAACATCAAACAAAATCACACGTTTTCTGATTTTCTCTAAGGCAGAATCATCTCTGTAACAAAATAATGCTGACATGCTTCTTGACATATACATCGCATCTTCGCTTTTCACCTTGACATGTCACGTGTTGCTAATAGCATTTCAAAAAAGTCTACTGGCATAAAACATCATACAACAAACCGACCTGAATATTTTAATGCCACAGAAATTAGATGACAACACATTGACCATGGGACGGCTTTGATTGCTGGCACAGATTGAAGCTATCTGCCATGGGCCTATTAAATAATAATTTAATATTTCAAGTGCCAGCTTTAAGTATAAAAATGGCAAAAGCTTAGGATTTTAAATTAAAGATACCACGTTTCATGTCATTATGGCAATAATTCATTATGAGGTGTCCATCTGGTGGTACTTTTGCATTTTTATAATCAAGAGTAATATCGATCCATTACCATAAAATTAGTGTTCGGATAATTTTTACAAGAGCAAACTAAGGCAAATTTTTATTTAACCAACGACAATTTCTCGGGAAGATTCTGTATGCAATGCTTTGTTGCAGCAGCCATGGTAATGAAGTTTGAGCATCCCATGAAATTGGTAATTAAATCGATATCAAGTTACAACCTTGCAAAAACCTGTCACTCTCTACAAACATGTTTTCAAATTGATAGAAAATTTTCGGACCTTAAAAAGCATCAACCTCGTAATTAACCAAATGCGGACACGAATTGAGTGGAAAGGTTAGGTTTGCCATCGCCGGAAGTAACTTACGTCATTTTAAGATTTAACAGCATTTGTTGCTAGCCAGTTACTGCAGTTTGTACGGAAACCCATTATTTCTCAGTGACATTGACTGACGTGATCGCATCAGAGATTTGAAAACTAGTTATAAAAACCACAGTGATGTTAAGAAAGCAGAATGTGGCGTTTTACTCTGGGACCAAATTATACAGAGTAGATCCGACGCATTACGATCACTAGCAGTTTTTCAATGTCGTCATTTAAATCTCATCTGAAGAAGTCAATACAAACATCAGCATTCGTTGTTTTACTTCGTTACCGACAGTAAAATAAGGTACAAATCTTTCTCAAGATTTATCATTGCAAAGTTGTTCTAACCATATGCTATGACCAGAGTGCAAAGATCTGTTTGCAAAGTAACAGAGTTTCACCTTAATAATTT